AAAAAAAAAAAAAAAAAAAAAAGAAATACCACTATTTCATGCCCAGTTCTTAGTATATTTTAACTATGTCAGTCTTTTTTAATTCACATTCATGAGCATGCATTAGGTGATGCTAAACAAAGAGCCTATGCCTAGAGGAAGACTCACACAGGAAATAAGGTAGTAAGAGTCTATGAATTAGATGCTAAAAATGCTTCGGTGGCAATCTGGGAAGGCTTCCCAAACGAAATGACTTCTGAAGCTGCTCCTAAAAGGAATGTAGAACCTTACAGAGAGACCAGCCCACCTAAATCCCTCCCTTAGACTTAGTAGTAGAACATATCTGAACCACACAGTTCATTCCTGCGGCTTAGTCTAGGCTCCCCAGCGGGGCTCTGTCACTTCTGGGATGCAGAAACCAGATTAGGTTACATATACAAATGTACCTGGCACAGCGTTGGGCGAGGAATAGGATCAATTTATGTCTGACGGTTTATTTTGGGCCTGGGGGAAGATTCCGTTTGCGGTACCCACAGGAGGGAACTGGAACAGGCAAGAGTAAGGGGACGCGCCAGGGAGCGGGGCACACCGAGACGGAGAAGCCAGCCCAGGGCAAGGAAGGCCCAGTCCTTCGCACCTGGCGCCTACCTCCTCCTGAGGTCCCCCAGGCTTCTCCCCATCCAGAGGAAGCAGGAGTCTAGGGTCTGCCTCCAGAGCTCTGCTCCATTCCTCGCTCCCTGGAAGACGCAGGCGCCGGGGGGCCCCCAGCTCTGTGAACACAGCGGGGTCTCACCTCCACGCCACCCCCAGCCTCCCGCTCGGTCAGGGCCCCTCCACGGATTCTATCACGTGGTTCCAGGTCCTAGCGCCACCATCTTGGACCCTGCGCCGGGGCCGGGCGAGCACTTCCGGCGCGCAGCTCCGGGGGACTGCAGTCTATCCGCCCTCGCCCTGCGCAGCCGATCCCCTGGCTGCTCCAGCCAATCCGCGCGAGCTCCCCTGGCCGCCTCCCACCGGCTCCGGTGTCTCCTCTGCGCAGACTCCGCCAGGACGCCATTATGTAATTTATTCAGTCTCCAAATATATATGGAGTGCTGGCTCTGTGCCAGGCACTGGTGTTACAATGAATGTTGAGCAAAACCCAAGGCATTCTCAGGGAACTTGAAGTCATGTGAAGGATACATAGAAGCAATTGCATGAATAAATATAAAATGATAACTTGTGAATGTCACACTGGAGAGTGCATGGCACCCTGATTGCTTATGAAGAAAGATTTGACCCACACAGGAAGAACTGTAAAGGCTTTTCGGAATCCAGTTATCCTTGGAGAGAAAGGTGGATGAAGGACAATGAAGTAATAGAAACCCAGCTCTAACTTGGGCATCACTTGGCTCAAGTAGCAGGAAAGGCTTCAGAAAAGGCTAGAGTTCAGGGATTGAAACACCATCATCAGGATTCCTTTTGTTCTCTCCATCTTTCAGTTTTGCTATTTTCTGTGTTGACTTCATAGAGTTTTCCATCTGGAGATAGGTTTCAGTTCTCAAGATTAAAGGGGACTATCTATAGCAATTACAGAATAAAAAGTGACTCTGATTGGTTCTGCTTAGATCACATGCTCAACCCTAGACCAATCACTGTATCCAATGGACGAGGTACTTTGATTGGTCAGCTTGAATTACATATTGGGATAGAGGAAGAGAGCCAAGTTAGTAAAAGTCATCAGGTGAGAGAGGTGTTGTTTCTGCAAAGAAAAGATATTTTGTTAGTTTTTGTTTTTACCAGAAAATGAGACAGCTCTTTGGACAGGTATAGGGATAAGAAAAACCAAAGTGTAAACCTGCCTCAGCCTCCTAAATTGCTGGGATTACAGGCGTGAGCCACCACATCCGGCCCCATGTGTGAACTTTTTTTTTTTTTTAATTGAGGTGGAGTCTTGCTCTGTTGCCCAGGCTGGAGTGCAGTGGCATGATCTCAGCTCACTGCAGCAACCTCTGCCTCCCGGATTCACACAATTCTCCTGCCTCAGCCTCCGAGTAGCTGGGATTCCAGGCACCCACCACCATGCCCGGCTAATTTTTGTATTTTTAGTAGAGATGGGAGTTGGGTATGTTGGCCAGGCTGGTCTCAAACTCCTGACCTCAGGTGATCCGCTCACCTCGGCCTCCCAAAATGCTGGGATGACAGGCCTGAGTCACTGCGCCAGGCCCCCATGTGTGAACTTCTTAGTACGCCACTAGGTGGCAGTGATTTGCAGCCCCTGGTTGTATTAAACAGACATCTTAAATACGCCTTTAGTTTCAGACAATAGAAAAATATGCTTCCTATAATGCAAGAGTCCTATGGCCTTCATGCATTCCTACCCTGTAACTAAGAGTCTAAATCTGTGAAAAGATGTCCATGAGACAGAGTTAAATTGAAATAGCAGGTTGCAGAACAATATTTGTATCTCCTTACTTTCTTCTTTTCTGCCTCTCTCCCTTCCTTCTCTCCTTCCGCAAAATTTGACTGAGCACCTAGTGTGTGCTAATATGTGCTAAGTTACTGGAAATACAATGGAGAGCAAAGCAACGCCAATGCAGTGCCCATGGATCTTATGGTCCCTTACTGATAATAGGTTGGTTCCACCTTCTCGTTATAACAAACAATACTACAAAGAACATGAGATACATGCACTTGAGTTCTCTAGGGCAGTGGTTCTCAAAGAGTTGTCTGGGCCATGAGACCAAAACTATTTTCGTAATAATTTTTTTTTTTTTTTGAGATGGAGTTTCGCTCTTGTTACCCACGCTGGAGTGCAGTGGCAGGATCTCGGCTCACTGCAACCTCCGCCTCCTGGGTTCAAGCAATTCTTCTGCCTCAGCCTCCCGAGTAGCTGGGACTACAGGCGTGCGCCACCATGCCCAGCTAATTTTTGTAGTTTTAGTAGAGACGGGGTTTCACCATGTTGACCATGGTCTCGATCTCTTGACCTCGTGATCCACCCGTCTCGGCCTCCCAAAGTGCTGGGATTATAGGCGTGAGCCACCGCGCCCGGCCTAATAATTTTTTTTTTTTTAAGATGGGGTTTCATCATGATGGCCAGGCTGCTCTTGAACTCCTGACCTCAGGTGATCCACCCACCTCGGCCTCCCAAAGTGCTAGGATTACAGGCATGAGCCACCTCGCCCGGCCATAATAATATTAAGATGGTATTTGCCTTTTTTCATGTTCACTCTTCTCATGAATGTTCACAGTGGACCTTTCCATGAGGCTCCATGACATGTGATATTGCAGCAGATTGACAGCAGAATCAGATATGAGAATCCAGATGTTTTCTGTTAAGCCAGACATGAAAGAGATTTCGAAAAAATGTAACATACACAGTGACACTTTTCTCACTAATTTTTTTTGTTTGGGAAAATATAGTTAATTAATTAATTAATTAATTAATTTTTTTGAGACAGGGTCTCACTCTGTTGCCCAGGCTGGAGTTCAGTGGCATGATGATAGCTCACTGCAGCCTCAAACTCTTGGGCTCAAGTTATCCTCCTGCCTCAGCCTCCCAAGTAGCTGGGACTACAGGTGACTCTCCTGTCTCAGCCTCCCGAGTAGCTGGGATTACAGGCATGAACCACCACACCCAGCTAATTTTTATATATTTAGTGAGACAGGGTTTCATCATGTTGGCCAGGCTGGTCTCCAACTTCTGACCTCAAGCCATCTGGCCTCTCAAAGTGCTGGGATTACTGGCATGAGCCACCTTGCTTGGCCAAAAGCTAATCTAAAACAAAACAAAACAACAACAACAAAACAAAAAACTCCACCCAACCAACCAAACAAAAGCACTGGCTGAGGAGGGCAGATCACTTGAGTCTAGGAATCTGAGACCAGTCTGGGCAACATGGTGAAAACCTGCCTCTACAAAAAATAATTTAAAAAATTAATTGGAAGCCTTTACTAACTTAGAAAAAAAATTGGCTAGACATGGTGGTATATGCCTATAGTCCCAGTTACTTGGGAAGTTGAGGTGGGAGGATGGCTTCAGCCTGGGAGGCAGAGGTTGCAGTTAGCTGAGATTGTGCCACTGCACTCTAGCCTGGGTGACAGAGCAAGACCTGTCTCAAAAAAAAAAAAAAGAAAAAAAGGAAAAGAAAGCTATATATCCTTTGTGTTTTTGTTGTTATTGTTTTTACTAAATCTCAAATTGTAAAGAATTGTGACATTATTTTTATTTTTATTCTTTTGAGACGGAGTCTCGCACTGTTGCCCAGGCTGGAGTGCAGTGGTAAGATCTCTGCTCACTGCAGTCTCTGCCTCCCAGGTTCAAGCGATTCTCCAGCTTCAGCCTCCAGAGTAGCTGGGATTACAGGTATCCAGCACCACACCCGGCTAATTTTTTGTATTTTTATTAGAGACGGGGTTTCACTATGTTGGCCAGGCTGGTCTTGAACTCCTGAGCTCATGATCCTCCCACCTCAACCTCCCAAAGTACTGGGATTACAGGCATGAGCCACCACACCCAGCCAAGAATTATGAAATTATTAAGGCAGGCTAGTAAAAGAAAAATAAAGTAGGCTAGTGATACAACAGTGAGTTGGTCTATGAAATATTCATTATCTTTTCTAAACAATACTATGAAAACCAGGGTGATTTTATCTTAAATGTTCTCAGAGGAAGTTTTTCTTGGTCACTAAGAATAGCTTTGTAGAATCAACATTACATGTATCGGAAAATTTATTTTTGCTTGGTGGCTCATGGGAGGTAAAAGTGTATAAGTTATGCAAATAAACCTTTTTTAACATCAGGGGAATTTCATTATTCTTAAATATTACCTTCTGCGATTTTTGTTAAAACCATTTTCCACTACACCTAATTTGTAAAAAAA